TGATACTATGTATTGACAATGCATTGTTGTATCTAGGGTGTACTTGCATAGGACAACAAATGTTGTCCTGTCTCATGTAAATATTTATAACAATCAATGCCTGTATCCTGGTAAAGACTATATGTTCCTCAACTTTGACCTAACATATTTTATTTCCATTTAATATAATAATTGCGTATTATAGATATATAGTTACTGTCTGAAAATTCAATAAAGATTGGTTAACACTGACGTCCCAACTAAAAGAGAAGGAAGAGTTTATGTGTGTCAAATACAATTTAACTTTCATTTTCATTTCTTACAATAAAAAAATTGTATACCTAATTTATTAATAATCAAACACAAAACAAAATCAAACTAACTTAAAAAGGTATAATTTAATACTTAAATAACGTTTCGCAGAATGCCTGGTTAACCGCACTGATTTTATGATCTAAGACAGTATGGAAACCCGGATAAAAAAATCTTAAAACCACAAAAATACTTCCTATATATACAGATTGTATACAGTTGTACATCGATTTTATATCTGTATACAGACTATATATACGAATTTATCCACCGAATGGTTTTGCAAGTAATTCGCGTTTCATTTTCTTGTAATTGCTGAAAGCGTTCCATATATAGTGTAATATATTACATAAACCTATAGATGACACAACTTGCATTATATCATGTTACACTTTTTGTCATTATTTATTTTCTTCCAAATCAATGCAGACTTTTATTTAGTTTCAGCATAAAATTTGTAACACCCCATGCTTAAATAAAGTAAAAAGAAGAGTCATCAATGAAAACAATTTGCATGTATGACAACTTTTTGACGTAATACCATTGTAAAATAAAAACTGGAATATATATATATAACCAGTTTAAGCTCTTCGCGTGTTACGGTACTTGTGTATCCCTTGCTTTCATTTGTTTGGCTTTGAGCATTCCTGATTAAGGTAAATCCAGAAAAGCGCTTCGCGTCATTTGAATTTACAAAGTATTATTTTCATTTTGAGTGTGTGTGTGTGCGCATAATTTGTACCTTAGCTCGCATAGTCTATATTAAACAAAAGTTAATGCTATAGCTTTGATATTCAATATCGCAGAATGTGACTGGGCTTTTTTATAATACATTCGTTAGCAATATTTTATTTTTTTTATCGATTTTTACATTCCTTAATATAAACTTTTTCGCATTAAGTGTGTATTATAAGAATAACTACTTTCATTAGCTTTCGATCAGTAAAAATATAGATGTGTAGCACCTACATACCATGCCTCTATAAAATCACTCGATTGAACGCACATTCCTGGTGTAAAAGATAAATTTTTATCACAATCTATTATTGCAAGAGTATTGGTGAAAATAAACATGAGAGTACAATTAATGTTTTACCAAAGACTGGCAAAACTTACTACATGATAAAAATATCATGAGAACCTTACGATAATGCGACGCGACCATTTTGAAGCAATATTGCACAATATTACAAGTAATATCGTGTTCATGATAAATATTTCGGAAAAAAATCGCCACAGACGTTATTTGTCTGTTCTTAAAATCTTTTTTGTTCCAATGCTCTCAAACATTACATACTTTTGGCTTTTCAAACTGCTGGTCATGCACGAGGGTAATTGATTGAGGTTATTCTAGAAACACGAAACACATGTTATGCGCATGCACGGAAGTTGTAACGTGTTTTTTTCATGTCTGTCCTCAGAATTTGCCCATCAGGTAACAAACATGGTTGTTAGTCTTAAAGAATATGCTACATCAGCTTTATGATTAATAAAACAATTGAGATACACGGTTGTACAAAATGTTCATTGATTTATGTCATAGATTTTTAACACTGTACTACATGTACATTTATAATATATATAACAATTGAGATACACGGTTGTACAAATGTTCATATATTTTCAACACTACTACATATATGATTACTATGTTTTGCTTGATACGTACATACTTCAAAGACCTAATTTACATTTTCACACTAAAAAGTTCAACTTATTTAAAATCAGACGGTTTTATACAACAATATGGTTAAATTAATTGTTACATTATTGAATATGTCCCGAACACCGTGTATCTCCCGACTTCAATAATGTGTGTAGACAAACAGTACCCGTTTGCAACATTTTATTTTTTCACGATTTTCCCATTCCTTAATATAACCTTTTTCGCATTAAGTGTGAATTATAAGAATAACTATTGTCATTTAGCTTTCGATCAGTAAAAATATAGATGTGTAGCACCTACATACCCTCTATAAAATCACTCGATTGAACGCATATCCCTGGTGTAAAAGATAAATTTTATCACAATCTATTATTGCAAGAGTATTGGTGAATATAAACATGCAAGTACAATTAAAGTTTTACCAAAGATATATCGTTCACCAATATTCGTCCAATAACCCTTTTACTGTTTGGCAAAACTTATTACATGATAAGAATATCACGAGAACCTTACGATAATGCGACCATTTTGAAGCAATATTGCACAATATTACAAGTAATATCGTGTTCATGATAAATATTTCGGAAAAAATTCACCACAGACGTTATTTGTCTGTTCTTAAAATATTTTGTATTACAATGCTCTCAAACATTACATATTTTTGGCTTTTCAAACTGCTGGTCATGCACGAGGGTAATTGGTTGAGGTTATTCTAGAAACACGAAACACATGTTATGCGCATGCACGGAAGTTGTATCGTGTTTTTTTCATGTCTGTCCTCAGAATTAGTCCGTCAGGTAACGAACATGTTTTTTAGCCGTAAGGAATATGCTGCATTAGCTTTGCGATTTATAAAACAATTGAGATACACGATTGTACAAAATGTTTATTGATTTATGTCATAGATTTTCAACTGACTGTACTACATGTACATTTATAATATATATAACAATTGAGATACACGGTTGTACAAATGTTCATATATTTTCAACACTACTACATGTATGATTACTGTGTTTTGCTTGATACGTACATACTTCAAAGACCTAATTAAATTTTCACACTGAAAAGTTCAACTTATTTAAAATCAGGTGGTTTCATCCAATAATATGGTTTAATTAATTGTTCACATTATTGAATATGTCCCGAACACCATGTATCTTCCGACTTCAATAACAGTTATGGTATACATGTTAAACAAATTCTATGTTGAACATATCGAAAACGTACGGTGAAATTAGATTTTTTATCTTGCAGGAGATGCTGATCACCTCAAGATATTTCTAAGCATCTGATCTGAATTTGTCATTTCCATTTTAGAAATGGTTTTATTTTTTTGCATAGTATATATATATATATATATATATATATTGTACGTTTTTTCTTGCGTTTATTTTTTTCTTATTTTTGAAAATTAAATAACACAAGAAAAAATATATACATTTAATCCGAAAAGAAGTCTTTTTCGTCAGTGACAAAAACGAAAGGCTTTAAAACAAAACTACCAGAAGATATCAAACATTCTCGTTTACGTTATTATTGGTTATGTATCTAAAAGGTAATGTTTATAGACCTACCATTTGAAGGTAATGCTTGACCTATGAAAAATTCATGGAAAAGATATAATGTCTTGTATCAAAAATTAACAGACCAGGGACCGGTTTCATGAAGCTATCCCTAGACCTTTCATGAGATATATCTAAAGACATGTCTTATGATCCTCTCATGACTATCTTATGACATATCTCAGACCTCTCCTCGAAGCTATCCTAGGATGATCTTATGGATTTATGGAAAAATTCATGTAAATGTAGCATGTGTTTAACGTATTGATTAATATTCCATAATTAGATAATTTGCAAAATTAATATAAAAAAAATAGTGCAATTTTTATAAATAATCTATTAATAATACACTAATATACATATGAAAATTCAAATACAAAAGGGAGAAAAAAAAAGAATAAAATGATGATTTTTTTTTGTACAAGTGAGTTGAATTCAATTTGTCACTGTATCGGTTATAATAAGGTTAAAGGATAAAATCGTGCATTCTTGCTATAAATGCATCGAATGTTCATTGTTGATAAATCATTTTGATAATCCGTCAACCTATAAAGATTTAGTTATGAGCAGGAAAATGAGTCCAAATTTCACCGAATCAGAGCTATTTCTGTGTATATTTTGTTGTCGTCGTCTGAGGTGCATTTAAACTGCAGCAGCCATATTTGTTTATAACTCATTTTAGGACATCATAACGATGTCTTAACTTATGATTTTCATAAGACCATCATAAGACACCTCTCGTGTAGTCCTTGCTTTATGACCAACTTTAAGAGATGTCCTAAATTAGGATTACTTAGTTAAACCCACTTAGGACTTAGATATGTCGTAAGATCATTCTAAGTCATGCCTTAGTCCTAAGACAGCTTTGTGAAACTGGTCCCAGTAATCAAGCAAGGGGGAAAAAAGTCTAAAAAATCCTCTCGTTTCTCCTTTCAATTAGAAACTCATCGTCCTTACAGTGGGTCAAATTATTATCCCTTTGAATAAAACGTCCGAAGTGAAAATCTATAACTGTTGTATCTTATAAAACAGTCCAAAATTATTTTACTGTAGAAATATAAACAGATTGTTAAAGAACACCTTTTTACACGTTTTTATTTATCTTAAGAAATCACATTTGATCAGTTTTTGACAGACGATAAAGATTAAGTCCTGGCATACTTCCAAGTAGGTCAATGGTTAGTTGTACAACAATATTTAATAATTATTGTTATATTTTTAAATTCACATTTTTACAGTATTTGATAGTGTATCGGTGTACATAAACCGTCGTCTTACAAAGTTGAAATCACTTTATTGACAAATTTATAACTAGTTAAAAAAGTAAACCCATATGATATAAAAGCTTTCAAATAAATAATTTTACTTTATATTGCGGTCTTTCGTGTCTTCATGGTTTAAATAAGTATACATTTATTTTTCTATAATAAATTACTTAAACAATAAAAAAAAAACGTTAAACAAGTGCTGACAATACCAGAGGCGAATTAAGCGCTATGACTGACAGCCTTGCCAATATCCGAGACTAATTCTATTTTTTTTAACCTGCGTTCCACAACGAAAAAAAACCCGTCTAAAACATAAAGACATTTTTATATGAAGCATGTTTTGATTTCATTCTATCTGTCAAAGGGTAGTTCTAAACAAAAGAAATACTGGTGTAGACAAACAGTACATATGGGCTTGCAGATAATTCTGTTGAAGTCAGAACAAGGTACGTAATTATATACTTCAGCCACAAATAGATAATGATGAAGCATATGTTTGATGTTTCGTTCAATTTGTCTTCATTTTATCCGCCTTCACAAAAACAACTTTTAACAATCTTCGTGTACATGATTGCAGATTTAAATTTTGAAAATGTTTTCCAAATCCAATGTCCTCTATCATGTTGTGAAAATGAACGATACATTTTTTGAATAAATGAGTATGTTATCAATTGCATGTATACACGTTCTAGGGCGTATTTAAATTTATTTTATACGTATGATGTATAACAATAATTATGAATGCAAATTTAACGTGACAGTCAATAAAGATAAAATAATACTGATGACTGCAAACTCTTGGATGTCTAGTTTTAACAAATTAAACCAGCATCTCGATTATTGAGACTTTATTTTGATAAATATAGGCATGTGATTACTTATTCCTGGAAAGTAAAATTTTCTTTTTAGCAACACATTTGATTGCTCTTTTTTGTTGTTTCTGCTTATGAATGCACTTATATACGAGGATATCGGTACACACGAACTACAAAATTCCAACTGCAATTTCCAACTGTTAAACTAGAGCAATAAATCATATAATTATCTGTTCCGAGACTTTTGTCCTCCTCTTACAAAAATTCAAAATGCGGAACTTTTGCAGGTCCACAAGATATTATAATATGTTGCAAATGAACAAAGAATAATCCAAAAAAAGAGTATTTTTTTATTAAAAAGATATGTATATAACAGTTAAAGACACAATTTGAAAAGGAGATACGGGGTATATGCCACATTGTTGTCCATTTAAAGACAAAATCTCCTAACTACTTCTGTTTTCTGAACAAAAGACTATTTAAATTTTTTTTTCTTAAACCGGTAAAAAGTTAATTGGAATATGAACAGTTCATTCATGAACGAAATAAGCAGTGAGAAATCCAATATTCTCCTTTTCTCTTCTGCTAAGTATAGCATCGTTGAGAGGTCAGTTATTCATCGATTTTATTTACATGGTCAATTAAACCTTGATCCAATAAATTGTCCTCTGTGTAAACTTTATTGTTTTTCAATGACATCCACATTGATAAATTATTTACATTTATGAACATAATTGTTGAGTTAACAATATATAATTTGCTTGTATTCAACATGGCGTTTTTTCATCGACCAGGACCGGTACAGAGTGATACAACGTAATATATTGGAGAAGGCAATTTCTACACATCTATTGTAACGTGAATTTATGTCTTCCATAACTTTAACCATGTGAATAGCCACCAATAGATGTTATATTTGCTGTGTTTTCATGTGAAGAAAGTACTTGTGATCTTACAATAAAGATCTAAAGAAGAGATTACCGACATCCCGTATAGAGGTGCTGTTGTGTTTTGCGCTTTATATATTCGCCTTATTCTTGATGAAGGATTAGACATGAAATAAGATCAAGTGTAATGATTTTTGTACTGAATATGGAAAATAGCATGTGAAGGTAGGTTACGAAGTTTGTACAAATAAAAACTATTATCAAGTAACTTGGAGTTTTAATAACTTATTTTATAGCTGCTGTCTGACGTCGGTTTTTACATCTGCTATGGTAAAGAATGACAATTTTAACCCACGGGGGAATTTGGATTAAGATTTTTCAAAAGATGTGTTAGGCATACACTGTAAATAATAATATACTTGAAGTTGTATTTTCCTTAATAATTACACCTTATATAAGAATGCCGGATTTTGATTGGTTGGTAGCCAGTGTATTTTTCGCATATTCTAACCTTTTTTCCTCATTTCAAACGAAGTTGCCTGCTTTTCACCACTGGCAGTGAATATGCCATAAATTCCCCTCTATGCCGTGGTATTTGCCATTTTAGATATTCCTTTTTTACGAGCCTTTCCATAATTAAGCAATATTGATTGATAGAGGTAATCCGAAAACTGTAAACAAAAATGTCAGACAACAATACTGCACGACACCAATCTTGTGATCGTATATCGAAGAATGCGTTGTGTATATAAAGTGGAAAAAGACGTCAATACAAATGAAACGATTTAATGATGGAATGACAATGACGTTTACATAAAGACAGCGTTAACGCGTACATAAGTACATGTATAATTCCCGAGGTACTATGATAGTCTCTACTTATCCTCAAAATTATGCATTGATTTCCCTTCACCTGTACGATCTCCTGTACGGAGAGTTTCAATCAAAATCTATTCGGTGTAATTAAACAGATATATCATGTTATGGAGGGGTATTTGCGAAAAATACCAGTCTTGAGACAAAATTTCCCTCGCCTAGCGGCACGGGAAATTTCACAGTCCCTTGACAGGTATTTTTCGCAAATAACCCTCCATAACATGATGCATCTGTTCATTATTTGATATTTCTAAATTTAAACACAATATTGGAAGTATAATGATAAAAATAACATGTATATTATGTTTTTTTCGGTAAATATTAGTTTTTACAGTCCGGCTTCCTCCGCTAATAAAAAAACTAACCTCGATGATATAGCAAAAGTATCTGAAAGTGAGGTTAAACACAAACAAACTAACAAACAACAACGTTTCTACAGTTACAGATATGCCTGGTAGAATATTCAACAAATCCCAATTAAAAAAAAAAACTGTACCATACAAACATCACATATGCCTAATATAACCGAAATTGCGTCAAATAAAGTGTGAACAATAAGTATCAGATGTCTCCGTAAAGAATGTATCAATGTCGTCTGCTCAAATCATCACCAATCTTCTAATTATCAGATTTCATGCAGTATTTATTGAACCTAACGCTCAATGTGATCATTGTGTTTTCATTTAACTTGACAATAGCGACATAATGCATGTCTCATAATGCGCAATTGACACACATTTTTTTCTTCTTCATAAAATTTGATTTTTAAGTGCCAATCATTCTGCTAGATTTATTCTATATGGAAATAAATCGTCCAAAATAAATAACAGTTCTATGAATTTGTGAACCTGTCACAAACAGTTTCTGTTTACTTTATTAACGCAATAAGGATCAATAATAATCAATTAATGTTACAAAATAACAGCAACGACAGAATAAAAACTTGGTTTATCGGAAGTGTCCTAGAACTGTCTGCTTAGTCAGGTTACTGAATAGCCATATCATTAAATTTTCCCTAAATTTCATTTACAACAGCATCAAAAATAATACGCAGAAACTCGACAACGAAAAACACTCATACACACAAATATTGAGGAACTCGACAACAAAAACCACTTACACACAAATATTGTTCAAGGTAAAAAACATTTGTGAGAATCGTGTAACATGATTTAGTTTTTGATGATGTTGTAAATCTAATGTTAGGGTTTGGCTTTACTTTAGGTCTTTTTTGGTTTAATCAGCTCTTCATAGTTTAAATTAGGTGTTTGGACTTTTAGTTCAAATATTTTGGCCTCGAGCACCACTGAAGAGACATTAATTGTCGAAATGCGCATCTGGTGCAATAAAATTGGCACGGTTAATGTTATTAGTATGATGCATCACGGAAATTATTCCTTCCGTACTTCATTTTCTTGTTTACACAGTTTATCACCCCATATTCTATATAAAATGAAACAAGAAAATATTCCAGTTCGGTAATCTGGACGTCCTTTTAACATAATCTTTCAAATACTAGATTGGTTTTCACGAGGAATAGGTACTTCAATTCACGAAATGAGAATACATGAATAAATAGCAGAATGTATATTTTACACATAGAATTCAATGATGCTAATGGTGCAAATCGTTCTCAGGATCATGCATTCAAAATTTAAATAAATCATTGTAAAATAAATTATTTTTTATCCATCCAAACTTTTACTTGACTCTGCATGTGTCAGTCGACTATTGATTACTTAGTAGGTTAACTTTAAAGTTGAGAGGTCTGTGTTTAACCTTTCAGATCTTTTTTTAATAACGAATGCCATGTTTGATGGAGGTTGTGAATATTAACCATACTTACAAAAGAGGTAGGGCACTTATTCCACATCGGGAACATTTTCATAAAGTTTCAATCTTTACTTAAATTGTGTGCGTTCTTTGAAATTTAACCCACAAACCAGAGAATAGGACAAAAACAAAACACAGGCACTTGTCTCTGATTTTTTTTTTATATATATATATACCTTAATATAACACTTTTCAGAGACAAGTGCCTGTGTGAAAAACGCAATTTTGAAAGATTTTGGCAACTTTTTAGCAGTTATTAAAAAAAATGTTTGTAAGGACATTCCTAACCTAGCCAACATTATGTTTGAAGTAAAGCTATATATCAACTATATTGTCTATCGGATACACATTGATCATTTTGGTTAGAGACGTCAATCGAAACACTATTTAACAAAAGCGTATTGCAGTTTTGTATCAAAATGCCTTCAACCACAACATGTAGTGCTGACTTAAAGTTAGATTTTATAGAAATATGAAAATTGTTTAAACATGTTTTAAGCGTATCCTATAGACTCTTTAATATTCAAATCAAAGTGGGATTTGACGAATTTTTGCTTTTGATACAGCAAGTGAAACAAGTTCAGGGAACATTAGCTCTATACTTCTTCAATTATTTCCTATCAGTTTGGAAGCAATTGGTCCGGTCGTTTTGATATATTTGTTATTTTTTATCGAAATCTTTTATTTTAAATAAAGGTGATAGACAAGAGATACTGTGTCATAAACCATAATTATAAAGGGGATCACGAATGCAACATTTCCTGTGCAGCACTTAACTTTTACTTAATTCTAAGAATTTTATCGAAATGCGCAAGAAATAAATTCATATAAAATGCATGCATGTATAACAAATGTATCATTTAATCCATAATATTATTTTTATTTTTTTCTATTTATAGAAACCATATGTCTTTAAGGACCAAAGACATATCATAATGCCATTTCTCCAGAAATTCGGTCAGAACGCTATATTAGCACTGATAGTATGAAATCAGAAAAAGAGTTAAATATCACATCATGCTTGACTTGTATGATCTATGAGGATGTATACGTACTGAAACTCATAATGACAAAGTGCAGGGATTGCGATAATAATGCACAAACTATACAGTATTAATACTATAGTTTGAATTTTGTTTGAGTCTTAAGTTCCTGCAATAACTTCCATGATGATAATTATGAAAAAACATAAGAATAAACATTTGAAAAGCCTAAATAATTACGTTTGATTTGGAATAACCTTGAACTAATCAATAATCTTGAACTGGATGAGAGACGCTAACTTACATCGGTATGAACTTAATAAAACAGATTTCGTTCCTCAGTAAAGACAAAAACAGAAATGTTCTTTATCGCAGGGGTGGATAATTGAAAGAGAAGATATAAAGTTAATGCATTGATTTAAACATCCAGATGGCGTTTTACTAGTAATTAGTCAATGACATTCACAACCGTATAGATTGATTGCTGCATGGTTACTTATATCCAACGGCAAATATTTCAGATGAACCTGTTTTTTTCTTGTAAAACAACAGTGGTCTTTAAAGTGTTGATGTTTTATATTGGCAGTGTCTTTTGGTCCACAGAGCCATACGTATATTACAAAAATGATAGTACAGTGTACTAGTCAAAATTACTATATCACAGCTAGCCATGGACTCTTAATAAACAGAACTATGGAAATATGTATTTTATATGCCATTGTCTAGCTAATATATAAAGAAGATTTCAAGTATACAATTCGCTTCTTCTCAAACATTTCTGTATTATTTCAAAGAGAGAAGGTAAAATAAGAACTCCATTTGTGTCAGTATCATATCATATACATTTGTATATTACATCAGGCAGTATTTTTCTTGCTGACCACCGTATTCCTGTTGTATGGTTGTCATTGTACTAGTTGACGTTGTTAAGCATTTTTGCGCCTGTCCCAAGTTAGAAAACGCTGGCCTTTGTATTCTTGTATGTTTTTTTTTTAAATTTTGGTTCATTCATATGTTTCGGAGTTTAGTGTGACGTCCATTTTCGCATAAACTAGTATACATTATTGTTTAGTGGCCAGCTGTGTTGAAGACCCATTAGTGGCCGTGGGCTGTTTTCTGCTCTTTGGTCGGGTGGTTAATTGTATCTTTGACACATTCCCCGTTCTCAATTTTATTAATTCAATATTTTATACTTTTCCTGTTGAATAGATATATGGCAAGAGACCCAGATATAACCATACATTAATGGACAGAAAAACGTGGCAAACCTTTTTCTGAATAATATTGCAGTATATCAGAAATTTGAAAAAAAGAGAGGCGCAAGATACTAAAATGATATTCAAACTCATAAGTCTAAAACAAACTGACAATGCCATGGCAAAAAAACGACCAAAAGACAAACAGTATAAAAAACCGAGGGAGATCTCACGTGCTCCGGAAGGGTAAGATCCTGCCTCACATGCGATACCCGTAACATGTGCTGTGATATATTTATATAGACATGTATATCTGCATATGTAAAGCGACAAATGCTGATTACACCTCGCCTATTCCAATGAAGTGGAAATTCCAATCATTTGAAGTATATATATATTTTGCACAGGTCTAGAGAACCAGTCTATGAATGTAAACTTAGATCATTTTTAGTACTGTCAAACTGAGCAGGAACCTTAATTTTTCCTCCCACTTCTCCAGCCTATTACCCTATTACTATTTTTATCGTTGAGTTTCCGGTTAACAGAAATTCGACTTCAACAACATTTATCTTTAGTCGAAATAAACATATTCTTGAAAGGAAAGGAGCAGTTTTTCATTCGCAGCATTAAATTGTGTTGTATTACTTTCAGGACACTTGCGATAAAGGACACTTGCGATAATTTAAAAAAAATCAAATATATTAAATCAATAAAATATAATTTCTATTTTTATAACAGTGTTCTTATTTGCACCTGTATTAACGTATAAACTTAGCAAAGGATGATATATAAATATATTCCTTAACAAACTAAGACTTCCGAAATAGCAAATATTACATAAATGCAAATGAAAACAACACTTGCGACTCTATACCCCCAAGTATAAAATAAATATGCTATACATATACAAAATGTGTCGTTGTCTCATTGATGTATCTACTTCATCATTTTACTCCGGCTGCAAGAGCGAGAAATTTTTTTTAAGTAACGGGTTCTTTTCAGTCTTTATCGTGATAAAAATATACAAATAAAAAAACCAATAAATAACAAATATTTCAAAAAATCTAATGTAAAAAATCTGTTATCGACAAATTATATGAACACTTTTCTATTATTAACCTCAACATTTTTACATGTGATCTTGGGTTGCTATATCATTAATGTATATATCTTTTATTAATATAGTATCCAGAATATTACGGGGAAAGAAACGAAGAAACGAAGAAACGGGAAAAATAAAAATAAATTGAGGATAAAGCGTTTCCGTTTTTCTTTTAATAATCATTATTTTCTAAGTGCAATACATCGAATAACTTAGATTGTTCTAGTGAAAAGGAAGTGGCTAATTTAGGTATATGTATACAAAGTAAAGAGGTTAACGACTTCTTTTTTCTTCTCTCTCTGTTGAACTAAAAGTATATAAAATGTCTGGAGTGATCCATTTTTATCTTATTATTCTAAATATTTGTCCATGCGACGTATAAAATAAAACCACAAAATCCTTGGAACTAGTGTATTCAATTTGCATGCCTTGGTTTTAAATTTTCTCTATTGCACACATTCCAAAATAGAATTGGTGTGCAACTCTCGAAGCAATGTGTGTTTGTGTGTTTATGGTGATCAGTTTTGCCTATGCCCATTTATATAAAAGTACAGGTTCCTGCGAGCATTTTCATTATACCTTTTCGAGTTGTCAATCATAAATATTGTAATTATATCAAATAATATGAAGATTTTTTATAGATATATAAACAATATATTAATAAAAGATATTGTTTGTATCTGCAACTTGATTGATATTCTTGTAAACCCTATGATAAGGAAAATTAAATATTCTATTCTTATTCTTAAAAACAATGATATCACATAATATAAATATTAAATTTCATTTCAAATGTTTTCTGAGCACTTCCTTTTATTTAACTGAGTTTCTGCACCACATTTAATATAAAATAAAATTTAGTCAACGCGCCATATCAAACCAACAAGAAAAGTTTATTTACAAAACTGACTGGTCATTTATCACAATATGACATATATGCGTTAGTGTTTTTGCTCCAGTACAGTTATAACACATTAAACTGCTAGATCCGGGACATAACAAATAATTACCGCTTAACTGAAAAAATTATGCAAACTAATTTATTTAAATGCCGCAAAATTAATCATGATTACTGTTTTGCTTGTATCATCTTTTCACAAAGCTTAACCAATTTAAGAAGTCGCATTTTTCCTTGCAGATTTTATTTTCCGTTTAAAAATCTCACGACAATTATTTTTTTTTAATATAGTTTAGTTAATTTTTTTTTATTCTTTTTTTTCTCGCTTTTGGCATAATTTCTATGTGTAAAACAAATAATGAAATTAAATCAAGGATATATAAAAAAAATTCATATTACTGCTTTAACTTCAACCTAGACAAATTTGTTTAACAAATTAGACAACATCAAATCCTGCCATTTAGCATTATAAATATCTAAAAAAAAAAAAAAAAATTTAATCCATGGTGCATGCACATATACATCACATTTGTATACTAGTATATGAAATAACAGATAAGATTTATTGCAAAAACCGATTATGATGTCAGGATGAATGACGGAATAGAGGGTCTGGATGGGGGGTCCTTCATTTTTGTATTCTATAAATTTTTTATGTCTTTTTTCTGCAGTCTTTATATTTTTTGCCCATTATTCCATATTATTTATATTTTAGGACCCAATTATTCTCTATTCTTTTTTTCATTTGCCCTATTTTTCTCTTTTCTTTATTTTTTTGTCATTTATTCTGCACATTTTGTCCATTATTCTCTATTCTGCAAACCCCATCCAGACCCTCAGAATACACATTTCGAGTCGATGGTTCTTATTTTCAGGTATTTGCATTTGGTCACTCTCCACTCTATCGACTAACGAATTTTAACAAACTTCGAAAAGTCTAATTATATCAGTAGGAAGTGAAATTCCGGTAAATTTAGAAAAAAAATCCATCTACATGCAAATGTCAACAACAAGTTCTCTGGCGCACCCAATTTTTCTTTAGTACTAATGTATGGATCATTTAACAGTTTTGCATTAAAAAGGATTTACATAAAGACAAGAAGTCTTTCGGTTATACACATGACTATAAATATGTTTGCCTTTGGCGAATACCATCGGGTTATAAGTTTATTGGATACTAGCACTGCATAAACTTGTAGTACAACTTTTCAGTTCAATAAAGTTAAAACATTAAAAAAAAAGCATACAAAACACACCGTTCTCATACGAGACTGAGCAAAGAATTATTGACCCTTTCTCCGGCATTTGTTTGATTCAAACAGCTAACATGGTTTAGTTGATATTGCAGAGTAAGAGATTTGTTCAACATTTTTTCCCAGATATCCATAATATGGAGATGTTATTCAGCGACACATTGTTGTCGATACACTTTTACATATTGCAGAGTTAGCATGTTTTGTAAAATTTGACGCGCTTTAGAATACTCATAACCAGCAGGGATTAATTTGAGTCTGGAACATCATACATTGTTTTATTTGTATAGACTTTAAACGCCAAGTTTCGAATTTCTTTCCTAGTATAAAGTTTTTATATAAATAATGAAAGTAAACGAAATTCTATAAAATGACGTTTGAGCATGTTTGAGCAAACTATATTAAGCATTTATATCTTCATGTTAAACTAAAATTTTCTCAAATATGATGCAATGTTGGCAGAAGTCCTGTAATTCATTTTTGTTAAGATCCGGGGACTTTTTTAAATGCGGAGCCTTTTGGGGAAATAAATGTAGTAAAAATTGGTCATGCACCTTCCAATAGTATAGAAGAAAATGTAAAATTATTAACATCGTATTTGTAATCTGATTTTCATATAATTTGGTATAAAGATGATCAAAATCATACAGCGGTATATGCTAGTAAACTACAGCTTACTAATTTCGTTGCATTGTCCTTTGTACGATACATGTTTTGAAAACACCAAAACTGAAATAGTTTTTTTTTAAGAGCTTTAAAAAAATATTCAAAGGGTTTAGAATTTTAATATATATATAAATTGAATATTATATCGAATATTATATGCACAAAGCAATTTATCGGTAAACTTTATAAAAAAATAACATGAAGAATGAAGACAAATATAAGATAAAAAAGACAGAAAACTAATATTATTTTTCATAAAGAATGAATGTTTGTATGAATACATTTATAAACACATTAACTTTTTGTTCACAAGCATTCTAGCGAACATTACCCGAAAATAACCATCAGCACAACTAGATTAGATGATGTTTGGTCTGTACTTATTTTTTGTGAAATGCTTTTAAAAACAAAATTTCAGATAATGTTCAATAAGCCTTTTTTATAGGCACAGAAACAATGATTGCTACATATTCTAATATAACTAACGTAAAAGATGCAAGTTCAAAACTAAATAATATGTTTATATCGTTGATAACATGTATATATATAAGTTTACATACATTTGAAATGAAATATACGAAAATTAGATCTAAGTTCAAATATTATTTTTTTTCATGACCGCAAGTTCGTTCTTTTGCTGCCATACATTAAAAGAATGTTTCTTGAAATACAGTCCATATTAACATGTGAAATGATAGATCGACAAGGAAGTTTATCATTAATGGTATATTTTATTATCAACAGAAAAATGCACTAATAAAAATCAACCAATATTCTTCCTGAAAGCCGGAGAGCAAATATTTTTACTTTGGGAAAAATCAACTTTCAAATGTTTTAAGTAGCAGGATAAAGTTGTTTATGTTCCTTATAAAACCAGATCAATGAAAGCATTGTTTTTGAACACTCTTAAAAAATGAACGTGAAAGCCGGCCTGAGATCAACTATTTTTACTCTGGGAAAAAATACGTATAAATTTAAAACCAGATAAATGAAACCAGTTTTTTAAAACTCTATAAACATGATAAAAAAAAATGAACGTGAAATGACATAACTTTTTATCAAACAGTTGGTGTATATCTAAAATTTCAGTAATATCAGGTATAAACCAGCAAAATTACATACAATAAATAAAAAGACAAATTTTGTACATCAAAGTATATAAACTAAAAATGTCAAAAAGACGGCAATGAAATTTAAAATCCATCTTCTTAGTGTAACCTGAATTTCTGTGAGATAACCAACTTTTTTCTAATAACTTTAGCATATTACATTCTTTCAAATATAAAGTCTGTACGTGTGTTAGTGTACACATAAAAGAAAATATAACTCTGTATGTGTGTTAGTATACACACGATAGAAAAAGGTTGTAAAACTTCATAATCTACTTGAATTTTCTAATTATGAACATGAATATATTCTGAACAAAAGAAAAACATTCATTATTTCGTAGCCTCTTTCAAACAGCTGTACAGTGTCGGATTCCTCAAAAACAACTCTTGTCATTATTTTGATGAGCGGAAACTTCATGTATTTGTGTTATATTGGATTTACAATTAGACATGTCAAACAGATATTAGAGGAAACGTGATTGTAATTTCACTTACCCTGAGCTCCTACAGAATGGTGAAAATATCGACTGGGAAACTGGCTTAGCGATGCTGGTGTTCCAATACGTGCCAGGTCCGGGATTGATCCAGAGGCACTTCTGTTAAGTGCTGAAACTCGGCTGCCTTCAGCAAAAGCAGATTCATAATTACCAAAAGATCCAGAGGGTAATCCATTTGGTAGAATTCTATTTCTATCTAATCGGAAATCTAACGGTGCATCCATCGTTATTGTTTTGCATAATCACTAATAATACAATACAATTATATCCTTTGTTATCCTGGAATTGGAACTCCATTCCAAGTCAAGTCTCTTACACATTATATCTTTAATAGTTACCTTAAAACAGAGAAAAACACTTCATTCATTATCTCGTCACGAAGTATAAGAACAATGTTACAGTTTTTACAAGTAGTGTACAAAAACTGTGTTGTTTAGTTTGCCTACGTTTGCCCTTGAAAACTCGTTTATCTAAATGCTGTTTATATAATCATCTTTGCTCAAAATGCATGCATCATATGTATACATTCTCTTGTGATCAGCAAAGTATAAGTACTGATATTTCTGCCATCTTTGAGTAAAAGTTATCATTAGGTCGAATTCATTGGAGCATTTAGAACAGATAAAACCAAACTGTACAAGTGCTATAAACAAGTTCGTAATCATTTCTATAAATATATTGTGAACTAATTTCCACCCAATACTTACGAATAGCTTTATTGATTTGATGGAAATTTTAGTTTTATCATGTGATTATTACAAAATTATAATTGTTTATACGAATTTTCTTTCCTTTGTGGGATGTTTATGGTAAATACAGAGTTTAGAACATGTATCCGAAGGTTAAAATTTAATTTAAGAAACGATCAAATCGGTACAAAATATGGAACGCAATTCTCAGCGTTGTCTCCGTAACACCTTTTTGTATTGTGTGTTATTGAATCGAGTGTAATTTTTCGATGAAATGCGTGTCAAATTAAATAAACATAATTTGGTCTAGTTATAAAGATGAATACTAATGAAAAAAATCTATGAATAAAAAAATTTCATTTTTTTGTATTAATACAGAAACGTGGAAGTGGTATGAAGATTGGGAATTTTAAGGGAAACAGAAAAGGGTTTAATTTACCGAAGGGACGACAATTAGAATTCTCATGAAAATAATCAAACAGAAAATGTTGCAAAAAATATCTTGAGGGATTTCCACTAGCAAAACTACCTTTATTTGTAGGAAAAACTGCAAAAGATTTATCAACGGGTATAATTTCATAAAGGATATTATTTTCCTGATAGGGAAATAAATAATAAAACTTGAAAAACAGTTTGCAACATTTACACTTATTATTGGATGCAACACTTAAGTATAACGTGTGATCTGAATTTTGCAACATAAGTTTCATGATATAATTGTTCAAGTTACAGGACAGGTGACATTCTAACAGTCATGACAGTAGCAGAAGATGAAAAAATACCCGTCGAAGCATTTTATTGAAGAAAGAAATAATAATAAAGATGCCAATAAAATAGTTATAAATCAAAGATTGGTGAATAATAATATGTCAAAAATAAAAATTACGAAAAAAAACTAATATAAATAAACAGAACATATTGAGAAGCCAAAACACCCAAGAACGACGGAGACATGAATGTTAGGGGAAAAACCATCACATCAAATGTCAATAGTTCGTTCGTTGTCAAATGATAGGTATAAATACTGCTTTGTGTTCAGGTTTCCTCATACGAAAACACTGATAAATAGAGCTGTCTTTCTTGGAATATTTATAAGGTATTCATTTTATACAGTTGTATGCTTGTATTTATGAAATTAACCAATAAAGAGCCGTAAAATCTTTTCTTCCTTTTAATACTAGTTTTTGTCATATTGTGTAATAGTTTATGAAAATGTTTTGAAATTCTTTTAAATATTTGGAAATTACTGGACAGATTTTAAATAGAACTTTCGCTTATATGTTAACAGGTATTGCGCCTGTTTTGTTGACGACACGTGTTCCATTCAAAAGGGGATAAGGTACGTAAAATGAAAGTCTTACCTTCAATTTATTTATTAAGGAAAAACAAAATATGTAAAAATCTCATAATGTAAAATATTCCAACATTTAACGGCGCTATTCCTCCGCGATACTGATTTTATCATCGTCGTTCGCCGCGGTTTGTTGAACAAGACACATTGAGATATTGTTAGTGTGTGGTTGTCTATCCAGAGCCGAGCAAACAGAAATTTCATTGGCTGAATTTTAAAACCCTGTGGACATACTTATCTTTCATGTCCTGCTGAAAATCGTTTCTCGATTCCCAAGTAAACAAACATAACTGTCATTATTACGGATACAGGGAGTGGTGAAAAAATTGTGAGGTAAAATCAGGTGAACTAGCGCATATTTTTTTTTCTTCTTTTAAAATTTATTATCTACTTCGGTATTTTTAATCCCAGTTCAATAGTGGAGTTTAATTATTCGATTTAAATGTCTACATAATGAATGACAGTCTCATAGAAAACTAAACGTATCGTATCTATCCTTATCACGACCTTATTTACCTACTTTCAAACGGCTTTTTATAGAATGGGGATCTGGAAACGTGTTCTATTTAGATTTTATCACGTGTATGCAATCGACTACTCAATGCCTGAATACACATCTGTTCAACATGTCGGCTTCCCCATAATCTGTTTTCACATTCAATAACGCCAGAGACGGACGTATTAAGTTGCCAAATAATGGAGAAAGAAATGAAACTCGAGTGGAAATTTAATGAATGTCCGTGACAAGCATGACTGTGTGTGGATTTTCTAGATGTGTATTTGGACTTTGATATGAGCCGTAGGCAACACAAACACTTTACCGCGAAAATATTTAGGACACATTTATGAGGTAGACTACGTTCATAACTGAGATTAATTCGTCTATAATCTTGGCTATTTACATACGAATGGATATTTGCTATTGTGATATGTTATAAATTGTATACTATTATTTAAATGCGTTGGATTTTTTCTTATATAGTCAACCAGGTAAGCCATCGCGTTTATTTTTGATAAATAAAATGTATATTCAACAGATTTAAATAGATGTTCATATATATTATATGCCTTTCCACAGACAGACATACACTTTTGAGCCAACTCTTTTATAAAAGTGTTTTTGGTAATTCAAGGCACCAGTTTAAATGAGCGCAAGTCATGCAGGTAGCAATATTGAAATTATAATATATATTTTTCTTGCAACTGGTGCAAGCGTGTTAATTTTAAAACGCAATACAATTTATTGAACGTTTGGTTAAGAGAATTTTATTTCATGACTATTCTTAATAAAAGAAGACTGGTTCTAAGAAATGGGTCTCAGAGTTCAACCGCAGCGTTTTTACTTCCTATTTACTTCTACACTGGGTATGCCATAAATATTTTAAAGAAAGGTGCATTTAAAAAAAAAATAGTATGATTTTTTTTTTCATTATTTTTGTATTTATCGTTAAATAATGTTATGTAAAAAATCGGATTTCTAGATTATGGTAAGCTTGGTCAGTCAGTTTGGCATATTTATTAATTTGCGTCCATATTTTTACCATATAGTGGCTCACCACTACCCTTATTTCAATTTATTCCTTGTGCAAATCTGACCGATCACGACCCTCCAGAAAATGGAAAAGATACTTTAAAAGAGTAACTATTTATGAAACAGTTAAGTAAGGAATATTTTGATATTTTCCGACGTAAATACTTGATTTAAAAATACTTTATACTTATAATAATTAATTGTCCATGAACATGATGAAAAATTCGAGGATGAGTCGACTACAAAAAATTTCGGCACAGGCAATTTCAAGCGACTAACTTCAAAATTTAAACTGGATATAAAAACATGAACACATTGATTCTGTAGACAAAATGATAATTTTTATATAATAAAGAACCATTTTATTATCATACTAGTATTTCAACATGTTCAAAACTTTGAAAATAGTCATCATTTAAGATAGTTACTCATATGGGGATATGCCTAGTCTGTTTTTTGTTTGTTTATTTTTTTGCAACTTGTACAGACATAACCTAGTAACATTTTCCTTTTATTTATTAATATTTGGGTTTAGTTCGACCTATAAGTACAATCTAGTTTTTAAAATAATATATCTATGGGAAAGACATTGTTTCTATTGAATATTTGTATTTGTTAAAAACTCTGTATGTCGAAAAAATACTTTTTTAAAGTAGGTACTAAAATGAGGACTACATAACGGATATTGCATCCACTATGATAGCTAGACTCGAGTTGTGTAAAGGGAGCTACCATTAGATTTTTATTGGGGGGGAAGGGGGAGGGGGGGGGGGGGGGCTAGAATGAAAAATTTTGTCTTGCACTTTTTTTAGCTGTAATCTCTGTCCTGCCTTTTTATTTTTCACTCTGTTCGGCCCAACCTTTTTTTTATTAGTTTATCCTGACTTTGTTTACATAAATTGTCATCCTGCCTTATTTTTTGCAAAGTTGCTCATCCCGGCTTTTTTTTCACTCAAAACTCCTGTTCTGCCTTTTTTTAAATTTCATCCTAGCCCCCCCCCCCATAAAAATCAAATGGTAGCTCCATTAGTAAAGTTGCCGACAGAACCTACCATGACTTGGTTATTAAGTCTTTCAAATGATTTTCCAATCGATGTATTACGAATTTGTACTTTTCACAGTTTTTGCAATGACATAAGACTTATTTTTTAACACCAAGCATTAGTCTTGCGTATGAATTCATCAAAAGAAAAAAGAAGAAAGAAAATGGAGCAGTCTAGTTTGCTTGTCTGAAAATTATACTCAAACATTAGTTAATATTACTTGGGCATATGTAATTGTTTTAACTTAAATAATTACTTTATTTTGATAACGAAATATTCATGATATTGTTGAAGTCGACCTTTTTTTGCTGGATTGGTCACTGTTTACGAAATGTGAGCGGTGAGACGCCACCCATCTCCACAACAACAAAAAATAATATTATACAAACACAAACAAAAGGCGAAAACATTATTTCAATGAAACTTGAAAGAAGAATAACAATTTTTGTGTACCAATAATAGGCAATAAGCACGTAAACTTTTGGAACGCAGGAATTGCTATTTTCTCTCTTTACATAGAAATTCGAAGATGAAAATGGGACGTAGCCTTGCATTCAATCATAATGCAGTGACATATATCCAGAGAAGGCATTGCAAAAACAGACAACCTCTTGAGTTGAAGCAAAACGAAGATTTGACATGGGCAGATCGACTATATATATATTTTTTAAATGATGAGGTATGCGCTCAATATGTGAACACAGGAAAATACACGAAAACCTCAAAGTCGGAGTTTCCTGTACTTTAGAATAGCATTATAAAACTAATGCTGTAGTGTCTCTTCAGCAGTCGAAGGCTTTATATATGTACAACATACACACATAAAGCTTTATATTGCAGGAACAAAATTGAAAAGAGTTTACAATAATATGATTACGTATATATAAAAATTGAAAATGAATGTTAAAAAGTTTCTATGTGCAATGAAAACGATTTGAAACACCGACAATAACACATGTATACATCCATGTAATAAATTTAACAGGTAATGAAAACGCCGAAACTTGTCACGAAAAATTGGTTTTTTTTTATTCAAAACAAAATATGTTAAATCAAATCAATACTTGTGACAACATCTGGCCATTAATCAGTTTTATAATGAAATTATTATCAGGAGAATTTATTAGTTTTCCAGATTTAATACAGGGGCATGTTAAACAAAGGTGCCCGGCATATTATCGTTAGATACAAATTCTGATATATCTTAGTCTCATATTGAGACTATCGTTAACATATTTACAAACTTCATTTTGAAGCAATCTTTTGAAGTTCTTCTGATAGAACGATCTTTTTTTAGTCCTATTAAAATAAGATAAATGAATAAGATGTTGAATATGATTTTTGCTCCAAATTTTAGAAAGAAATCTTATCACTTTATAGACTTTCTTTTGTATTATCATGGAATATTGAAGTTCCTTTATGAGAACTATTTCCAAAATGCGAAAAACAAATATTCTGGAATATTATTTTCACTAGAAGAAATATTGCAGTATTTGTTCCTTAAGGAATAAGGGTATGGAATATTTGTTCCAACAGAAACACAGATATTATAGTATTGTTTATAATAAAGTTTCCAGAGGATCTTCTGCTAGGATGAACAGATATACGTTGACGCCATGTCTTCTCTTGGAGTGCAAATACATATTCTATATAAACAAGATCAACATGATCAAGTAATTTAGGCATTCATGGTATTCCTAGATGTTCTACAATTGAGCTGGAATTCACCAAAATAATGTTATATATGAACATAAGTATGATATACGCCATAGTTTTAGTAGGCACAGCACGTGGTGCTGAAATGCCCTTCTATAGGGATGTCACATGTGAAGCAGGATTTGCCTACCTGAGATCACTCAGTCTGGCTTTTTGGTGGGGTTCGTTTTGCTCAGTCTTTAGTTTTCTATGTAAAATTCTGGATACTGTTGTCTTTTTCGTTTTTTTGCCATGACGTTGTCAGTTTATTTTTGACTTATGAGTTTGAATGTCCCTTTAGTATCGTTCGTCTCTCTTTTTCCACCAGTAACCTTCAACCATACTCGAAATCAATAAATCATAAACATTTTGGGAGGATCAACCTTTAAAATTTTAACACAGCACAGTATTTAAAACAAGTCGCAAGGGGCTTGAACTTCAAAATAAACCAATTAACCATTTGCTAGGACTAATTTTTAAAGAAGTTTTGTTTTGCCCCCGCCTTAGCGGAGGGTGCATTAAGTTTTACCCTTGTCCGTCTGTACGTCCGTCCGAACGTCCCAAAATTTGTTTCCGTTCTCTAACTTTAGTTTGCCTATATACACAATGCTTATTACCACAAAACACAGATCATGTTTGAATATTTGAAACACTTTTACCGTTCTAAAGTTATGCCCTTTACAAATGGAAAAATTGCTGAATTTTTCTTTTCCGTATTCTCTAACTTTAGTTTGCCTCAACCAAATGCTATGAATCTTATACACAATGCTTATTACCACAAAACTCAGATCAACTAAAACTTGGGTAGCGTCACTTTTACCGCTCTTGAGTTATGTACCTTTATAATGTTACATGCAAGCGGGGGCATCATCTGTGTCCCATGGACACATTCCCCATTTAT